TTTCCCCCTCGACGACGTGGGACAACTGAGCCATCAAAGACCTCCGGCGTTGCTCCTTGAACTGACGGGGATCGCTCGGATCTAGTCCGAGCCCCCTGCTCCTGGAGCGTAGTGACCAGACTTGTCAAAGTAGCAAGAGCATCTGTAACCCCCGTCATTCTTTCTTCAACAAGGTCCTTGAAGACATCTAACTCGTTTCTCGGATGATAATGCTGGATCTCGCCATCAGTGATGTCGGAAAGGTTCGAAGAAGAAACAGCGTGAGTACGGGGGGGCTGACTACGGGTACGTGAAGATGCTCGAGTTGTCCTTTGACTAGTAGACGCAAGAGGGGGTGTCATAGAAGTGAGTGAAAGACGCACTGATACTCGTGATGTACCGTTACACTACATCAAGCGAGATCAAATGACTAATACCAATAATGCAGACAACTGTGTGCGCTCCAACCTAATCGATTCTATCATAGCTGCTGGAAGTGCGCACAAACAGAGTATGCAGAGATACTGCTTCTCATGTACCATCAGTAGTGCTATAAGCACCGACAACAAGATTGTGGAATAAGGAAACACAGAGTAAGAAGAATAATAGCTCACTTCGCAATATATTTCCGTTAGCCTCGACCAACATAGGGCTCACGCATTGTGCGTTAATGTGCAAGCGTGCAAGCTGAGTATCATCTCAGCATTAGTACCCATAAACTATTTGTAGTCCTCTTGTGTATGTCATCTAATAATAGACTCTCTATGTGAGGCCTAATGCTATGTGTAGCATAGTCATTGTCGATAAGTTGCCACAGTATGTTGTCTCACGGCACCATATACGGTATAATTTACTCTTGTATATTACTACAGGTCCTCTTCACAATCGTCGGCGGCCCATCCCTCCTTTCACTAATTGCTCCCTGGTCGGTTTTAGCCATCAACATGTTTGTTCCCTTTGTAGTCTCTTGTGTGGCATAGCCATGGTTTCTGGGAGTGTCAATGCCTTATCAGATGACAGCGATCTTGCCTCAACAAGCTCTGGCAGATCAGTGCCTTAGCTTGCTAGCTAGAGTCCTATGTAGTTCTTCTGTGGGTTACTCCTCGCACCCGGGAATAAACCCCACATAACGTTATGGCCGGGTTAGTTCGAGCTTGTCGAGAGGCGTCCTATTAGGACCGCCTATGGTAAGATGGAACCAGAGCCCCTGATTATGACAGGGTTAGAGGAACTCGAAGAAAAGGCCGTGGAGGGATAGAGACAGTCTGGAAAGAGTGCTGATAGACTCTACGAGGTTGAGGAGGAGGCCGATGTGAGGGGCGTGGGAGCTGAGGATGACCAACAAGTATAATACGATATATCGACCAGAATAATTCGATATTTTGTATTGACAAGTTCCAAAGATATCGGCTCGGGAGAGCTGTTGAACGGCATGAGGGATGATTAGGTCGAGGTCTCTATCAATAAAGGTTAATTTGAGAGAATTAACGGAGGTGTTTGAGCTACTAGCATCGTTCCGTCTCCGTTTGTCCATGACTCGATGTGCTTGGTAATGACCAATGTAATGATCACTCACCGATGTGTGGATCCTCCAGCAGGAAGCTCAGGAAATAACGGAGTTGGTAGCGACGTAGTTGCTGGAGTGAAGTGTGTTTTCGAAAGATTCCGGCAGAAGGTCGATCTCAACGGACCAGAAACTGATAAGCTCGCTGCATTGAAGTATTACTAGTTTCATCGATGTCAAGTGTCGTGTTGTCTGAATGAGAGCTCCGCGGCTACTACCCCTGCTGTTTAGTTTTTGTGAGGCGCTATTGACAGAGGCGCCCGCCTTATGGCAGCTGATCCGTGAATGGAGTTCCCAGCATACCGCGATAAAAGATGGATATCTAAGATAATGAAAGGCTTTCAAATGCCTGTAAACGTCGGTCTCATTCGGCCGATGATTGACTGGTGACACCTCAGGATGGAGTTCTGGATGACACGGATATGACCCCCGATTACCTCAGCAAGGACCCTACAGCAGGCTTCTTCACCTCTAAAGTGGCCAATGTGAAGGATCAGATCAAACGGGCACTCTTTCGGTTCGTAGTAGCTATATGATAACATTTACGATCATCTTGAAGATTTGTGAGGGGTCATCGCTCATTCGCCTCAGGCATTGTCTTTTCAAGATTCAGAACGTGGAGGTGCAAACACTGCAGAAAGAATGCGAGGAGAAGTCCCGATGGCTTGAGGAAGTCCGACATCTTAGTGATGCCGATACCAACTGGGTTACGTGGGCTGCTACCAAGAAGTTCACGCGACGGGATAAGGACCCCTTCACGGTTTTGCGGAAGGAACGGTGGACAATTAGCAGGTGATTATTGTCTCCATTGCATCGATACTTTGGTTATTAATACTTCAGATGTGGTGTGCCAATACCTTATGATGTTATATACTTTCGTGAAGGTGGTGATGGTTTCTCCACACGTGTCATGCCTGTTAGATGGATGGATAGGCTTCGGGGTGCCTATTTCTACTACTTCGAGTGATGTCCGGAATGGTTTCTGTACTCTTATTCGGTTATGAGTTATCACGTACAGGATGAGGACCATCAGCCATTGTAAGGCTGGAGGAATCTCTCACAGCTACTTCCGATGATAACGATCACTTCTTCGACGGCTACGAATACGCAGCTTATCAGGATTACTTTGATGCGTAAATGCCTTCCCCCACCCTGATGTCTGTACGCGGCATCGTGACGTTCATCAGAGAGAGTCGTCAGTTCCCAGGTACTATGCAGCTGGGGGGGGATTGGCAAGGAGGGCAGAAAGTTTTCATCCGTGATAAATGTCAGGGGTATGATAGTCGGACTCAATTGCCGAGTAGGATGTCGCTGGTCAGTGTGGGGTACATATAGTTTCTGGCTCGGCGGGGAGGTGACGGTCGGCACATGAATGGTATGATAATGATGAATGTGCAGACCTCAACACCTCTTTAACACCTAACACTGTAACTACTTGTGTTGCGAGTCAAAGGCATGTATAGTTGGGCAACTCACGCAATGATCATAAGCATAGTTCTCAGGGACGCGCTGACGATAAGGTCGGTTAGGGGGGAGAGGCTACCGAGTGAAGAGGTTGGATATACTTAAGTTTGTGATGTAGGGAAGACCGCTCCTACGTGGCTAGCGTGATAGGAGCCCTCGCTGGGGCAGCTTTGGAAAGCACATATAATTGGGGCGCGCGCGATAAGCGGTCAGCGGAGCGATTCGACACATGTTTTGAAAGTATCACTCGAAGTGATTAATTTTGCAAAGTCGTTCACCAAATTTACCGGGAGGGTGCAAGGGAGGGACTCAGCCGAAAGCATACAGAGGGAAAAATCGATGATGGTTATTTTTTTGTGGGAAGATTATTCTCTGTGATGGTCCTCGAGGGTGCTGCCAAGGGCCGTGACGTTGGTCATACCACCACCACTGCAACTTCCAGCGGCGGCAAGAAGATCAGTGGTGGTGCCTTCCAAACGATGGGACTGTCAGATCCGCTCTTTAAGGCTATTCAGAAGATGGGGTAATAACCGCTTGGAGGACGCGGTTGTTGGTAAGTGTCGAGACCTCAGATACAACCAGCCCACGCCAATCCAGAGGAAGGCTATACCCGCGATCCTCGGTGGTAGTGATGTAGTGGCTATGGCTAGAACTGGGAGTGGTAAAACGGCTGCTTTTGTTATACCAATGGTACTACTCGGGAGAGGAGGTTCTGTATCAACTCCCATGATTGTAATAGATACAAATCTTGAAGGGTCATAGTGAGGTTGTTGGAGCCAGAGCCGTTATTCTATCGCCTACTCGTGAGCTAGCCATGCAGACTATCAAGGTCACTAGGATGCTTGGTAAGAAGGACTAAGGTCATCGTAATGGGAATGCATGATAATAGCTTCTCTTAGGGAAATTCACAGACCTCCGATTATGTCTCATCGTTGGCGGTCACAGCATGGAGTCTCAGTTCGATAGGCTCTCTAGTAACCCCGATGTGCTCATCTGTACACCAGGACGCCTGGTAGTAAGGGTAGCGGTGCTATACTAAATGGATACTTCAACAATGCTAATCTGATCGAATAGCTGTTGGCTTGGTTTTACCCATTCTCACGAAGCGTCGTCGTCCGATACCTCATTGAAGCCTTGGTAGGTCCATCACATGGTGGAAGCGGACCTATCTCTACAGCGTGTACAGTACATTGTTTTCGATGAGGCTGATAGGCTCTTTGAGATGGGTTTCGCTGATGATATGCAAAGTAATACTACTATTCTCCTGTATGGGCTAGACGCTATTCATGTTGAGGTATCCTTAAGGCGACTCCACCCTCTCGACAGTGTCTGCTATTCTCTGCTACTCTACCTAGTCAGCTAACACAATTCAGTAGAGCTGGTCTAAGGTCTGAATCTACTCAGTTCATCCGTCTTGACGTGAGTGCTGCTGTGTTATAAACGTATTCACCGTTACATTCATTCCCAGGTAGAGCATACGATATCGGACACGCTTGATCTGTGGTTCCTCTATACCACTGCAGACTCCAAGCCAGCGGCACTAGTAGCGTTGCTCCGCAAGTAGGGAAGTGGATGGTTTATTAACTAGGGTATGCTCATGTCGTCTGGTAGGCTTCAATCGATGAGTAATAAGAGTACTGGGGATGCGACAGGGGTCGCTGGTGTGGAGGGGAAAAGCAAGGGTGGGAAGAAGGGACCACGGTCATCGAAGACTATAGTAGGCTCACTGTGGGGGGACGAATGTCTATGGCATCGTCGCTCTAGGTATTCGTCGCGACTCGTCATAACGTAGAGTTCTTCGCATCACTGCTTACTCAAGTTGGTATTACTAACGCCCCTATCTATGGGTCTATGGACCAGACCCAGAGGACTTCTAGTCTATCTAAGTTCCGATCGGGGAAGGCATCAGTAGTGCTCATATCCCTCCCTCCACACGAAGATCCTTACATCAGGTGTTGTTGGTGACTGATGTGGCCGCTAGAGGTATTGATATACCCCAGTTGGACTATGTCATCAACTATGACTTCCCTTCAAGCTCCAAGCTCTTTGTGCATAGATGTGGGAGTAGGTCGACGGTTAGAGATATCCTTCAACTACTTGGGGATCTCATAGCTGTGTTGTTGTTATTATAGGAACTGCCCGAGCTGGAGCCAAAGGGTTATGTGCCTCGCTGGTCACACACGACGATATGCCTTATGCAGTTGAACTCATGCTGTTCCTAGGTGGTAGCTTGGGGAGTATTGCCTTCTCCGTCATCGGGGATTATACATCTTCTATTGGTGTTAATCAGCTGTGAATATCCTTCGCTTTGATACATAGTGATTCGAATTGGAGTGGTGGTATTGTTGCAGGTCGGAAGCTTGGCCTGCAGGCCTTAGGTAGCGACCATCCTATCCCTGCTGAGGGTGAGGGAGAGGGTGAAGTGGACGAGAAGAGACTGTGTGTTATTGGCGGCATCCCTAGTGTACAGGAAGAAGTCGAGACGGTGAGCATCACGAGACTCCTGGTTCGATTCCCAGTCATGGTACTTTTCCGTAGGTTCGCCGACTTGTATCTGGGGATGCTGAGCTGGCCTCCTTGCAGCGGTCAATGATGAGTGCATATCATCTCTACTACAAAACTCGACCAGCAGCCTCCAACCAGAGTGTAATAACGACCCTGCGATTTGATGCACTCAGTGCATGTCCAGGTTCGACGAGCGAAGTTGATCCTTAGAGCTGAGGCGGGTGGGCCTCAAAGGCTTCTGGACACCCCGCATCCTGCTTTCAGGACGGCTGCTGATCTTGGTAATGGCTGCCTATTTAGAGGAGTACAGCCGGCGAGCAGGGTAGTGTTGGTCGTCAGGTTCACAGAGTGTTGAGGATATGAAAGAGAAGCTCGATATGATAGCACAGCTTCGTACGTTCCTCTCGATCCTTTCTCTTCTGTTAATGCCATGTATGGAGTATTGCCACTTGAACATGTTGTTGATCTCTATAGGCTCCTTCCGTCCCTCTCAACAGCCTAAGTCGACTGGAACTAGTAGTACTACTGTTATCAAACCAGAAACAATGGCTGAGATCTCTCAGCATGTGGTGAGTTCATGGCTGTCCTTGGCATTAGCTAGGACATGTTCACTGTAGGTAGCACCAAGAAAGCTACGACATGATCTCAAAAGGATGTCGCGAGTGAGGCAACAACAAACACAACTGGAGTCGCAAGAGCAGGAAGATGAAGACAGCGACGTAGAGGGATCTGTAACTGGGGAGGGGGAGGTACTACTCATAATGAGTATCATAGTATTGATATGTCGTGTATAGATGGAGGATGTACAAGTTGGGCAGAAGAGGCCACTGGCATCATCGCAGCGAGCGGCGACTGATGACAAGCAGACTCATCGTATGCTTAGTAAGAGGGCTCGGAGGAAGCTCGAGAAGAATGGTAAATGGTAACAACCGCACAGGGTCATAAGTGTCGCTTCAGGTGGTTGTTTACCACAGCCGAATGAGGCTGGCCTCGCTGCTGGTGGGAGAAAGAAAACATCTTATCATCTTGAGGATGGTGTTAGTGTGTTCAACCAGACCACATGTCGATCCAACGAGTTTTACCTTGGTAAGTTGGCTCTTCCTCATCCCTGGTTCACTACTCCTCAGGGTCTGTTGATGCTGACCCAGAGTCTATTGAGGCTAAGGAGAGGGAGAAGCAGTTGGACATAGAGAAGGCTCAGCTGGATTTGGTACCTGATGATCGAGAGTCAATGACTAAGGCGAAGAGTGTTATGCGATGGGATGCTAGGAAGAAGAAGTAAGCTCGGGCTGGATAACAATCACAAACCGCCAGTCTTGAAATATATGTTCGCTTTCCTCAGTTGAGTTCAGGAGTTTCCTCGTTAATCGTAGAGTTTAACTACGAAAATTTCTCAAAATTTCCTCGGAATTTTCATATTGTCGCCAACACATGTGGTTGATGATGTGCATATTTCCCACGCTATGAACTGGAGGACAGGTATCTCCCTGTGATGGTCGCTGGTGATGGCGGGGCTCCAATAGCTGCATCTAGGAAGAGGCGCAACGAGGCTGGCAAGGTATCAACCAGCAGGATTTGCTGGAGGGATGGTACTCTTGTGTTGAATGCTGTCAGTTGGTGAGTGGGGAGATGGAGAAGAGTGATATCTACTCTAAGTGGTTGAAGTCAAGTCATAAGAGGATACAGAAGGTCGGGGAGTTGGAGGATAAGCAGGTTGGACATACATCGTTATCAATCTTGATCTATCTTCACTACAGAATAATACATCATTCACGGCACCGAGGAAGGCTATCACTATTGAGGATGATAATGAGGAGGATCGGGGGACAGGCTCGGGTGGGGGAGCTAGGATGGTCAAGGAGTTCCATGGTGGAGTCCAGAAGGAGTACTCGAAGCTTGTCTCTATTTCGGTTCACTTGTTGTTTCAGGTTCCTCACGAATAAACAGAAGCGACATCTCGCTAAGCAAGATAGAGTGATGGGTAGGGTTGGAGTAACGTCAAGAGGCGATAATGCTAAGGATGAGCTATTGCATGCTAGTCAGTAAGATCTACTCTCTAGAGTTGTATTACCACCTCATTATGGATGTGGTTACATTTAGAATTGCCAAGAACCGCAAGAAGAAGACGATGACTAAGATCATGCAGGACCCCAAGAGGAGGAAGGCCTTTGCAGCCAAGAGCAAGGTACATATTCTTATAGTCATCATCACCATCATCATGCTATGTACACCCACTTCACTTATACTATGTCCTACCTTATTAGGCCGCTTTCCGAGCCAAACAGGCTGAGAAGTTAGCACATCGTGGGGCTCCTAGGAGGTCTTTCGCCATTGGAGACAATAGTGGTCAGTTTGCTCAACTGCTGATTATCAATGCTAGTAGTAGTTATGATCCTTTTCAGGAGGGAAAGGTCGGGGTCGTCGTCGATGATGATGATGAGGGTACAGGCAGCAGTAATCTAATAATAAAGTTGTTTACCAAACTGTATACTGTGGCATTGTTTTCCATCAACAACAACGTCAATACGTTTCTTACATTCTTCCCCTTCTGTTGTGTTCACAGAATGAGAGTTTGTACATTAGAAGTTGCGTGTTACTATTGATGAGGTGTAGTGGAGGCGATGGTGGTGGTGATCGACGCTCCTATGAGGTAATTGATTGGCTAGCCCTTGATATTGGAGGGACACTTGCAAAGGTCGCCTGTGTTGAGGATAGAATACCAGGTAGTGAGGCCAGCCTGGTCGTATTCACTGACTAGAAGGTCTACATTGATACCCCTCTCAGTGGAACGTGTTAAGGCAGCGGGGCTCTCAGTGAGTCGAGATGAGAGATCTCTGAAGACATCTAGTGGCAAGTCTCTTGCTTTCTTCCTATTCTCCAGTCGAGAAGGTCAGCTAAGCACTACGGTAAGTAACTCTCTGCCTTGAATCATCGACATGTTGTTGTTGTAAGATGGCATTCCTCGAGCTCGTAGTGTTGGAGCATTATCCTCTGGGTACACTACCCAGGCCTACTATACGAGCTACTGGTAAGTGGTAAACCCCTACTCCTCCTTCTTGCAGCTACCCTTTACCATGTAGGAGGTGGTGCTGTGAAGTTCGCGTCTGTGATACGTGAACGGTTAGATGCTGATATCGTTAAGGTTGATGAAATGGACAGTCTAGTGAGGTACTCCTACTACTGGAGCACCTCTCGAATGCCCATGCTTGCCTCCTCCTCCTCCTCAGCGGCTTGTCGCTACTTCTCAATACTGATGGTTCCTTATTCCAATATAACATTAAACATAAACGACGTCAAGTGATAGATACTAGTGCTATGGAGGGTGTCGAAGGCAGAGGCTTCTTCCCTTTCCTCCTATGTAACATAGGTAGGCTGCTACTGCTGCTGCTGTCGCCGTGATCCTTTGTGATGGTATTGCCTCTAGATCATCATCATCATGTTCAGGATCGGGTGTATCTATATTAAAAGTTGAGGGCCCTGGTAAGTACCAGCGTGTGTCGGGGACATCAGTAGGCGGAGGAACGGTAAGAGGGATAGCACAAGTATTATCTGTCCGTTGTTGGAGCCAGTGGTGTTGTCATTATAGCGAGCTATCGTAAAGATGATCATGATGATCGTGTCGTGGAGTTGTTGTTGTTGTTAGTGTACCATGTGATACTATGTAGGTACTCGGTCTCGGCTCTCTTATGTTCAATGCCCAGAGTTTTGAAGAGATCATCGAGTTGAGCCGGTGAGCTTGAACCCGCACCGTTGTTTCTATTATCACCCTTGGTTCAGGTGGGGAGATGCCCGTCGGTCAGATCTCTCAGTTGGTGATCTTATGGGTACCCAACCTGGATCTGAGCACGGCATGTGGTCAGATGATACATTGGCTAGCTCTATGGGCAAACTCTTTGTAACAGACCGTCCGAGGACCACAGCAAAAGAAGGAAACGAGCTGCCAGGTGGAGGTGAAGGCGGCCACACTTCTCATCATCCGGACTTATCGTCAGGGAACTTGTGTGCTGGGTTCACAGCTAGTGAGGTTGGGCGTCCCCGGCCAGCTAGAGAGGACCTAGCACAATCCCTCATACAAATGGTCTCTTATAACATAGGCTACATATCTTACCTGGTTGCCAAAATCAACAAGTGCAGAACTATCTTTTGTAGTGGTAGGATATAGACTCATCGTATTGGTGGCTGTTTGGTTATCACCAGTTGGTTAGGGAAATACGTCAACAAGCACGAGCCGACGATGGCCAGCATTAGGTAAGCCTAGGAGAGTGAAGTCATTCGTATCCTTATCCTCCTTGTTCAGCTATGCAGTCGAATGGTATCAACAATGGGGGCAACCACAAGAACAGAATAGACAGACGGACCATATAAGGCCGCCTCCAGGTATGGTGCTGCATCTCGGGACGATGATTGCTCGATGGTTTATTCATCAATCATCAGTTGAAGCAAGTGAAGATGGTACATGCAATGCCACTACAATGACCCTGCCTATACCTTTACGTAGTCATGATAAATGTAACAATCATACACTGCTTATAGGATGATGTAGTGACTTGCCTTCTTAGCGCCAACACCAGCTCTACCACCATCCTCTATTGGGCTCGGTGATCCAGTAGAAGTCCTCTTCCTCCAACATGAGGGATATGTTGGAGCAATCGGTGCTCTTATTGTAGACTTGAGCAAGACTTCTCGCGTTTGAGGTCGACCCCATGGACTAGGAAGCCGCCACTCCTCCCTGTGCTTTTGCCTCAGTGTTGTTGTGATTTTTTGCCAAAGGCAAGGTTAGTGTCTCCTGCCTGTTTCTTGCCATTGATTGCTGTACAGTATATGTATCATTACTTACCACTTTCTGGCCGTAGTGTTCTATCAAGTAAGGGAGGGCCCCTATCACAGATCAGCCTCATATGAGCTCCTTGCACATGCTCTGTTGGCATTAGGGCGGTCCTCTTCGGTTTAGTATAGGTGGTCATACGATGTTGATAGCTGTATGAGAGTCCCATCGATATGTCCCTCACGATGAGGCCACCATCCCTTCTCCTCAAGCTACTGCGTAAACGCCTCCGCATGCCTGAACCACTGGCCATGGTTGATGTTCCCCTGGCTACTGAGGCTATTCATGCAGCACTCTGTCCTGGCCTCTCCCCTGGTGTGTTTACTCAGCTGCTCACGCTAGGCATGAGGCTTGGAGCACCACAAGAAGTCACTGTGAATGCATTGGCTCACCTGCCCGACTCGCTAACCTTTAGAGACCAGACTGAGCTCATTCGACAGCTCATGTTGGAGGGGATGCAACCACATGCTAAGAGAATCCTTCCGAGTGCGGTCGAATGTGTATCCTACCTTGATGCCCCAAAAGATATTCTCTGTATACTCTCCGCATTAACGAAGTGCAATGATGATGATGATGCGGCAGTTGATCATTTCCTGTGGCTCCTGATCGAGCGGGGAATACTCGTGAGATGGGATGTCCCAGCGCTATGCAAGATGATTGCTCTCTCTGGTCCAAGACAGTGAGTCATGTACCACTTGCCCTGGGTTACTAAAGCCTCTTTTTACAGGCACATTCGAAGCGTCGCTCAAATGCTTATAGTGGCTTACCTTGACAATACTTCGCTTGATGAGCAGGATGGAACTCTAGATCTCCTCGTCCTCCGCACTCTAGCGGATATCAAGGCCATAGGAGGTGCCTACTCCCTGTACGTAGTCATATACAAATGTTATCATTAGTTATGACGCTCTCGAGAATTGATGAAGTGCTCCTGAGGTTCCCCAAGATGGTGAATTCATGGTTCAAGTATACTGCATCGGAGCTGATGAAGTTGGCCAGTGCAGCACATGCCTTCGCGACATTGGCTCCATCCAATCTGCTCGAATGGAGGATTCCTCAGGTGAGACCTGTACGAAAATTACGAGTATGTCGTCCTCTCTTCAGCTCGCCGACCTCCTCTCCAATATCACAATTTCAAGCCTATCCATCCGACCCACATCTCGAAGCCTGGCGATGCTGCTCTGGTCGATCTCACGGCTCGCAGCTCTCACAGCATCTAACCCAGTCAGTCCTGAGAGAGCTGGGCTGGTGCTCTCATATTTGCTTACTGACTCGACAGCTCCATCAGGAGACGTCGTTCTCATTGTATGGTCGCTTGCGAGGACTGTTGGTAACTTCAGTGGCTTCATCGATGAGCTCCAAGCCCTCTCGGTACGGATAGATGTCAACGATCTCCCTAAATTCTCTTGGGCTTTGGCCATCGGTTTTGGATCTCGTGACGCGTTATCGAGAGACGCTAGGATGCTCATACAGGACTGCGTTAAACGCTATTATAATCAGCAGCAACGAAAGCTCCAGTCGGACGTCGATACCGGAGATGAATTTGGCACCAACCCGGTTCTCGCAGACTCAGTGATGCTATGGGATTCCGCATCCCTCGCGGGTGTGCCAGAAAGAGACATGCCTTGTGAGCCCGATGTGAGTGAATTAATAACATATTTGAGCGACGATCCTTCAAAACGGATAGAATCAACATTGACTGTGTGCCATGTGGGTCCGATTAGTACTGGTAGACTATTGGAAGCATTAGGGGTTCATCATGCTCCTTATGTTCCGCGATACATCACGCGAACGGATCGAGGCCTCCGACAACCCATCGCTAAATTCATCACTTGTGAAGTCGAGCTAACTATCGGTGATACAGACACGAGAGTGTTCGTCGTCAGAGGCGGGTCCCAAATGATGTGCAGCTTTGAAGATACCAACGATGAGTTTGTCGGTGAATTCAGTGAAGGTCACCGACGAGAGCCTTTCACAGGGTTATACCTTATGAATGATCGATCAACCCATGCAGAGATATCTGCTCTCAATGGTGTTGCCAATTTCCTATCTGACAACAGTGAAGTTGGTTGGCTTCATTTGCATGTATCACATTTTCCTTGTCTATCCTGTATTTATGCAATTCAACAATTCCGTCGATCATTCCCTAACATCCAGGTGAGTGCAAGAGGTGCATCCATGTACCTATTTATTTCTCATTAGGTACGAGTGTCTTACGAGTGGTGGACATCGGGGAGTGAGCCCCTCGTTGGATCCGCGGAGCCTCGAGAGTCTGGTCTTGATACCTCTCTAGTGCATGGCAGTTTCGGGTAAAGGTTTCAGAATTGGAAGCTTCTCGTTGTGCATGTAAATAGTTGATAGTGTTCAGTATGTTCTATCATCATTTCGTATCTAACCGTGCTTCCTTTGTACAAGGAATGGAAATGCTATCAAGACCGATTTCGATGAATCTCTATCGGAAGTGAACTATTGAAGACGTTTGTCAACGGACCCTGACCTGATGTAGTTTCCAGAGGCTTGACTAACATAAAAGGCCACCGGACCTCATGTCTTTTCGAAATGGATCAAAGCCCCCTAAGTAGTATTAGTTTACATCTGAGATATGAATTAATACTAGATATAATATCTCCATTCTTCTGCACCCAAACTCGACAACAAAACAATCGGTGTAAAATTATACATCTAAAACTGGTGGTTCTTGCTGCTGTTGATTTATTTTGTTATTGGAATTAGTTACGTCCCGTCGCTTTCGATGTGCTCTCTCTTCCATCTTCTCATGGGCATCGGCTAAGTACTTCACGAAGAAATGATCCATAACAGGATACTGTCCTGTCCGAGGATCCGCAGTAAATTTGCCAATCTGAAACAACAAATAAGATTCGTCATAAAATGGGGTCGTCGATAACAAGAATGCAGCTATTATCTAACATGCAGCAACGCGACTAGCATTCTCAATATCATGCCTCGCGGCAACAAATACTACGAATTTAGCAAAAATTTCCTTAGGTTAATTCGATGCTTATCCACAGTGGATCACTATCCTTGACGATTCACAACTCGTGAGTAACAAGCCACTGAAATTGCAGTACATACACTCACCTCGAATATGAATTCACTAGGATGTTTCCATGTAGCGAAGCCATGATCCAACCAACATGGATGGACAATCTTGCATTTTAACGAATCCTCCTTCATTGCCTTTGCTATCAGGTGACACTAAAAAGGTTCATCTAGATGCTTTCGACTCGGGGGTTGACGTACCTTAGCAGTACCGCCTTTAGCACAGACCAAATGAGTTGGTTCATCTTCCACATTGTTGATAACTGTGCCGCCGTACATTTCGATCATCTCAGCTCGTTCGGATGCCTCATTCTGGTTGAACCCTATGAAGACAGTTCCGCAATGTGGATTTACAAAAACCCATACGACTACTACTACCAGTGAGCATGATGCGGCAGTTCTTGAAGGTCTGCTTCCGAGTATCATCGATGACGTTTTTAACATCAACAACGAAACCATCACCAGCTGCATCTACCAAAGCCTTGCAATATCGATGATGGATCTCGGTGAAGACTCGAACCATGGCAGGGAGGTATCTGGAAGGCTTCATTATCCATCGATCGCAACAGATAAGTGATAACTCCACAGACTCGGCTTAGCCCCGTCCGGTTTGAACACTGAATTCACGTGAAACTACTTGCACATTTCAAGTGATGGAGACTTGAGGGATAAGCGCCCTTCCTCCAAAGACAGTTGCTCATGAGGTTGAGTTAAAAAAACACCACGAGGAAGGAGGTGATCAGAATGTGATGCAACTCACCCATCGAAGTTCTTTGACGCATCATCCAATTCCGGTTTAGGGTATCCGCTCTCCGGGCCGCCCTCCTTTATCCAGTCCGATGTTTGTTTGAGGGCTCGAACGACTTGGAGTAGTTTCTGGTCCATATATTTATATGGTGGGCACTTGATGACGTTGGGTTGGAAGTCTAACCATATTTTATCCCTGAAAGTTGAATCCTCATCCCAAATGAGATCTCCGAATCGCCATACTTATCATCGAGGATGATAACCTCCTCCCTAGGCCGGGAACATACCGCTCGTATGTCCTTGTTTTCATTCGACCCGTGTTTCATATCGTCGCAACGGGAGAATACATTATCATTTCGGAAGAAGCCTTTCTTGTGCGGATCAAGAGCCTAGTCATCAATATTGTGGATTACACACCGTAAGTGACTTCGTTACCTCCATCACATATTCAAGATACACTCTCGTAGCCTTAGTATGGATATAGAACTCGTACATCGGTTGTAGTGCTTCCAAGAACTGATGTACACCTGATCAACATACCAACTGATCGTACTGCAAAGACGAGCTATAACGTACCGGGCCGTAACTTGACGAAATGAGGCTCCTTCCCAGTCTGCATCGGGAGCTCCGTCTGATGCAAATCTATGCCCAAGGCTTCGACTACTCTGTCGGGATACCGCGGCATAGTAGGAGGCTGTGAATACCATGTATCATCATTATCATACACAGTCGTGGGCCTACCTGTGGGACGGCATTAACCAATGTATGATCGAGGTCCAGGACGAGAGCCAACTTTTTGGCGGAATCTGTATCCTGTGAGAGTTGTGCCACTTGTGAGGACCGATCAGAGATAGACTCAGATGGGGTCGGAGGCGTTGATGGTGGCGGAGACTCTGAAAAACACCACCGAGACATAACGATATTGAGCAAGTTATAATGGAGTTGTCGCAGCCATATTTCGCCATTACCAGTTTCCTCTGGTGGCTGAGGTGTGGTTTTACCATCATCTGGGGTTCCATCAAGTATATGGAAATCCGGTTCAGATGATGTTACGATGGGAGAACCAATATCGAAATCGGATGGACTCACTGGATTCGGTATTACTGATAGTTTCAAACTACTCAGGTACCTGTTAAGAGAATAATCCTAATCGTACTATGATAACTCTGTAGACTCCTCCAGCTAGGTGGGAACTAGTATGTGATTCCAAGGATCACCGAGTGTCGGCTACTACCATGCAAGGAGTTCTTGCTTGAGATCCTCTACAGGCACTCTGTTTGCCATGATGGGACAAGTATGAACTGTTAGTGATGTAATTATACCAAGAATGACGAGATCAGTGCATGAGCGAACTGCGTTGGTTTGGTTATCCGAGGAGCGGATTGATGTAAGCCTCTACAGATGATCTCATAATGGGAGTGCTCTGAAGGTATATGCTGTCGTGGATGTCTTCAGCATATGTCAGTTCGGATGGTTTAGGCGCGAGCACACCGAGAACTTTTTATGAGGAGGAACTCCGATGTATTCTCTAGAGAACCAAGGGTAACCGGGCAACCTAGTTGTACAGTAACTAATGAGCTTTACAGTGTATACAGTGGTTGCCTGCACCGTGGCATGCGAGATACTACCATAACTCCCTCAACTTTCTCAACCTACGGAAGGTCCACGGTTCACCATCTTCTACACAGAGAGTCTCTGTCAGAAACGAAGCACTTTCCTATTCTGCACGCATGCCCTCAAGCGAGGAAAGACAAGTTAAATCAAGTTCTCAAGATTTTTTATAGAGCGCACTCAGCAACCGGAGCGTTGGTGTGCGCGAGTAAAGTGATCAAGTCATAGCGTGCATCGATCAGAGGATCGATTGATAGCCACAGCTGGGACTTCGATGGTATCGGTAGCAGCGAGGCTTCATGGCTCACATGGCGTCCTCGATCTGTCTTCTGCTTTTCCCTCTAACGAGGCTGCCTTGCTGTAGCTTCTTTAGAGTGGTTCCTTCAGGCAGTTCTACCCTGCTTAGGTAGGGGCTCTTTCTGTTCCCTCCCCGCTGTGCCGCCTAGCTGTGGCGATCCAGCGGTATCGCATTTGATTGTTTCCTTCTCGTAAGTGTTACGTGTTTTAGTACCGTGTGGGTTAGAGCCTCATCTTAGCCAAGCCAACAGAGCTTGTTTAGCACACCTTGAACTGAGTTGGCTCGAGGCTCGGGGGTTCCCCCCCTCTCGGAGGGTAGCTTCTGAACGACTGGTCATATTTAAGCCCTTGTTACTTCGGTAACCCCTCCTGGCATTCCATGCCTCACGCACCACGGCCTCGGCCGAGTGGCTTCAAGCCTCGTGACAGTCCCTACGGACTTCGGTTTGGAGGTTTCTCCTTACCTCTCCTAACTCCTTTGGCCAGATGCCAGGGGTCGGAAGTGAACTCTTCTCATGCCTTACGGCACTATTACGAGAGCGCTAAGATGCGTCATGCTAGACTGGAATGGTCCTTTCATATCAATGATTCGTGGTCACCACGAGAACACATTCAATACATGCGTGAAGTGAATCCACAGGACTTACCGCAATGGGAATCACCCCCTCTTCCGGATTCCTTACTCTCAGCAGTATCGGTGGCGGCCCGCGGGGCCTGTGAGCCGTTGTGGATTCGTTCTCGGCGAGACCACATTATGCAGACTTTACGTCGAATACAGTCTATTCTCTCACCTCTTCAAGGGGAATGGGCTAGAAAGCTCCCTACTTGTTGCAAACAACTGAATCTCCCATTCCTTGCCTTCCTAGCACATATTACGGACTATCCAGACAAGGCCTTTATTGATGAACTCCGTACTCACGGCGGCGTTCCGCTAGTGGGCAATTTGACAGTAGGAGGTTCGTTGTTTGCTCCCGTCGAAAAGACGACCCGACCCCTGCTCACTTTGGAGGAATTAGAAAAGCATTCAAAGGCTCGCCTGACCCAGCTGAAACATCCCTCAACACCTTCCGTTCAGCAGGCAGATCTGCTGTGGAGTATGGCTGAGCAGGAGACGGCTTCCGGGCGCCTCTTGGGTCCCTTTTCTATTCAGGAGTTGACTCATGCTACTCCTGTTCCGGGGTCCACGATGCGACATGTCGTCGTGTCACCTTCTAAAGTTCGTCCGGTTGATGATTATCGCCGTTCATTTATCAATCAGGCCACATCTGTGGGCCATAAAATCACATTGCCGGATGTTTCTACCGTTTGTGCCACCATAAAAGCACTTTGGGAATCACTTCCCATTCCATCGGCGGCTAAGGTCTCTGGTCAGCTACCAGCACTCCGGGTGTTTAAATTAGATCATAAAGACGCTTATAGACAAGTTCCCATCCGCCCGGAACATCGCCATCTATCGAATGTATTGCTTTGGAATACAACTCAACAACAATACTTCGGTTTCTACCATACGGTATGTCCGTTTGGTGCGGTCTCTTCCGTTACCAACTACTTACGGTTGTCCAGCCTCATGACCCATATCTGTAGAGTTCTACTGGGGATTCCCCTTATTTCATATCTGGATGATTTTATTGGGCTTGATTGGTTGACATCGTGTGATGACACATTCAACTATGTGAAAGAACTCAACAAGTTGTGTGGTCTTCAGCTAAAGACAGAGAAAGAGATTCAACCCTCTGCCAACGCTACAATTCTTGGGATCGACTTGAACTTGTCTGATCCCACGATGGTTTCATTGAGTCTCTCAGCTGAGAAGTTGCAGCCGTTGCTTAGTAGTGTCGAGGACCTCCTCTCAGTTGACGATTTTGGTGGTAGTGCTCATGCACGTAAAGTCATCGGCAAGCTTGCTTTCGCGTGCAGTATAGTACGAGGGCGAGCACTTCGATCGCAGATACGCACCTTAATTAGGTCGACGTACACAGTAGAAGTCTCACAGCCCGAGATATCGTCAGCTCTACGAGATATTCATCGCTTCTTGGATACCCTCTTGTCAACAGAGCCTGCGTCTACACAGCATGCTCGGGCCCAGACCCGCTCCGTATCGGTTCGGGAGCTAGATAGCCAGCTCCGTCCTCTTGTCCTATATGCCGATGCAGAGGGCGAACATGGTGGCTTCGCTGGAGTCTGTGTGTCTCCCGCGGGTATCTGGTACTTCGCAGATGTGATACCTGATTGGATTAGACCAATTCTCCCACGATGCTCACAGCTTATTCATTTCTTTGAATTTTTCGCTGTGTGTGCGTCTCTAGCTACTTTTGGTCACCTTAGTTCTACACATAACATTCCTATTGTTCTGTTTACGGATTCTCAGTGTGTCAAGCATATCATACGCAGAGGGAGCGCCAGCCAACCTCTACTTAACCAATGGTGTGGTAGATTATGGAGTTTCATTCTCGACCATAATCTGAACATTTGGTTTCAATATATTCGTTCCCATAGTAACCCCGCTGATGCTCCTTCTCGTATGAGATGGTCGGAATGCTGTACATGGCATCGCTGTCGAGTCTCTCAACCTTCATTCTTGCTATCTGATCAATAAGTACCACTTCTTAGTCAGGGCCTAGATCGCCCCTCCTTATCATCACTAATACTATAGTTATTGGTTTGGGTCAAGCTCGATCCTACTCAGTTCAATCTTGATGGGAGATCACCGTCCTCCTACTCTGGTATGTAGGAGGTCGACTGACCTGAGCTCTGCTCCCCCATCGTTGTAGGAGCGACGGTCAGTTTAGGCTCAGGATCCTGGCATACCTCAGCCTCCTACTACAGGGGATTCGGCTCCTCCTGAGCATGTTCTACACCAAGTCTTAACTCTTCTCGCTCAAGGCAAAGACCTCCAGGAGGGAGCCTCTGCTAAGGAGGGTCAAGCTTTCCTCACAGAACGCCTAGCACATGCACAGTTGGTCGGTATCGATCCCACCTTAGTCCCGTCAATTACGTTGTTCCACCGTTTCCTGAATAAACCTAATGCGGAAACGGATTTCTTGTCTACGGACATTGAGGACTTTCTCGGTCAAGAGGACATCGTTCAGATTCAAGGTAGCAGTTCTTCTTCGGCTTTCAAATCGGTAGATGCTCTGAACAAAAAAGCCTCCACAGTCCGTATACCCAATCGCTTAGCTCTGCTGGGTGTTACCTTGATCAAATGGGTAACGGCTGGTTCTCTAATATGTTCTTTACCCAGAGGTCTCCTCTTGAGCCACGTAGCTGCAACCATGCACTGTGCCGATTTATACGGTACGGCTGTAGCTCTGTCATATCATCGTCACCAAACGGCTAAAGCTGCGATTGAATTGTCCATGGGTAAGCCTGCTGTGGACATTGCCATCAAAGAGTTCAATAACCTGACAGCATTTGAATGTAAGCAGCGGCTAGATAGCTCCCAACGCAAAGCTACCACGCAATTTAAACCGAGACGCTACTTCGGTGCTACCAACTACAACTATAACTATAGACAACAGTACAGGAGTGCCCCTTATGACGACTGGTATTCATGGTCTAAAAATGACAAAGATTGGAAGGGGTGGAAACAAGCTGATACCGGCACATCGGCCCCATCTACTACTAAGAAGTCGTAGTGATTATGTTCAAAGTTATCCTCCTCCCTTAGTGGGGTATCCTCAGTGCTCTGCCGCGGCCGCTCCGGGGGTACCTTTATTAGTCTTGAACCTGTAAGGGCAATTCTGACCTACTTCTATCATATCCCCTATTCGGTTCGACCACTTGTGGTCGATGTAGGTATCCTGCCCGCTCTTCATCTGTTGTGTTATGTCCGGATCTTCGGGAGAGCTGCATAAGAGTTCACCGCTCATTTTTATCCCTCTTACAATCCTCATCGTACTTACAGATGTTGGCAGCCCAAGATTGGAGGCAAGCCTTCTCGTCGACCGATTCTATCCTTCCGACTGTGGCCTCTCTTCTTCGGGGCGATCATCGCCTATTAGAACCAGCAAAAACCCCAGCTGCCGCCTCTACGTGGTTGCATGGAGTTCTACACTCACCTTCTGATTATCCACATGTCCTACTACAGATTGTCGAGACATTGCTATGCTCCCTAGCGCCCTCTACTAGATCATCGTACTCCACTGCCATCTCTAGCTGGAGCCGCTTCAACCACGAGCTCAACGTCATCCTGTCTTGTAACGTGGCAGACTTCCCTGCTGACTCTGCACGGTTGGCACTTTGGCTCTCATCCTTCGCTAATCCACGTACAGCTCATACGTATCTGGCGGCAGTGAAAAAGATACATAGGTTGTTAGGCTACCTCCGATTAGAGCACGACGAGGTGTTGTCTGCGATTATGTTATCTCTTCGTCGCCATAGGGCCTCTTCTTCTCGGCCTCGCCTAGCTATCACAGCCCCATTCATGGATCTTCTATTGGCATCCATGGAATCTACACAAGACTTCACTTCCAGAGCGATTGCTGTGTTAGCTTACCAGGCCTTAACTAGAGTTCAATCTGAACTCTTCTCACTCCGGATATCTGATGTTCTGCTTTCCCCTCGCGGTCAATGCATGTACATCAACTTCCGTAGGCGGAAGAATTGGCCTTCGGGACACTCGATCCAGTTACGGTGTACCTGTGACAAAGCACCTCAAGCCTGCCCTGTAGTGGCCTTTCATTACTTACGGGGCAATAGATCCCTCTTATCCACCGAGCCTCTCATCGTTGGCTTAACATTCTCACAGTTCATCTCTCGAGTACGATTTCACCTCCAACACTGCGGGTGTCCGAACCCAGCTTCCTACACAGCACATGCTTTCCGCAGAGGGCATGCTCGAGACTTGGTTACTCAGAGAGTCCCAGCCTCTATAATCATGCAGGCTGGCGGATGGAGAAGTCACGCCATTTTACGATACACAACACCGGGTACACGTCTGCTTACTAAGCGATCACTCATGTTGCTCATTGATGATAGTGACGAAGATTCCACCTGATTTTTCATCTCGGGGCAAACCGAGTTTCGCGAACGTTTCACCGTGTGACGGCGTCACATCGGCACAATTTGGCTTTTTAAGAAATTATATAGTTTCAGTAAGATTGCAAGGTTGCTGAGTCATTCGGTCTCACCAGTGGTGAGTCACCACTACAAGGGAATCTCTCTATTTTATAAACTTTGCTCACTCCTACCACCGTCTCTTCCTCAGCGATGGGGGCGCGCGCTCGGTCCACCGATCAGTCCACCGATGGGAGATCACCGTCCTCCTACTCTGGTATGTAGGAGGTCGACTGACCTGAGCTCTGCTCCCCCATCGTTGTAGGAGCGACGGTCAGTTTATAGAGCGCACTCAGCAACCGGAGCGTTGGTGTGCGCGAGTAAAGTGATCAAGTCATAGCGTGCATCGATCAGAGGATCGATTGATAGCCACAGCTGGGACTTCGATGGTATCGGTAGCAGCGAGGCTTCATGGCTCACATGGCGTCCTCGATCTGTCTTCTGCTTTTCCCTCCCTCCCACCCGGGGGAGATCACCGTCCTCCTACTCTGGTATGTAGGAGGTCGACTGACCTGAGCTCTGCTCCCCCATCGTTGTAGGAGCGACGGTCAGTTTATGTCACGTCAAAGCGTTAGTGTCATCATTACAGTACGAACTAACTATACCCCTTGTTATACGTAGTACCGTGTTCATGCCTCTGATAGAGGAGGTTTAATCCCTTTATATCAACTCGACTGTTTGCGTCAATGGTTAATCATCAATCTGTATCTTGCCTACTATAAGCTTATCTGTTGTCTATTTTTTTGACGCATTTACCAGCCTGTGGGGGGAAAATCCAGTTATGGAGAACCTTAGAAGGTGTGGCCCTCAGAAGGATACTGTGGGACTCGCATGACCATACCCACTAAAAAACCCCAGAGGCTGAGCCCAAAAGACAGGACGTCTGATGGAACCAACTTCTACTAGCCTGTTGTCTATACGCACTACAAACCTCAAAGTACAAACGGTGACTTAGAAAGAGTAAAATAGTCTCGTTCAACAATCAGGAACTCTCCTTTCCTCAACTGTAAGTCTACGAATCTTGCGAGCTCTCAAAGTGTATTCGTAAACCCTACGCGTAACTCGTTTTATTCGAGTTGCGCTCTGTACTCCATACGATAGAACAATTCGTTTGATGAAGTAAGTTGATCGTCCACTGGGGTGTACGCCATTGAGTTGCGTTCGGTGCTCGCTTGGGGGACTTGAACTTATACTCTGGCCTCTTTCCTCTATGCTAATTCCAATGAATATCTCTACACTAGGACTTTTCAAACTGTCTCTCCCGAGACGGTCTACTTTACTAAATTTCAATTTGCAGCTAGTGCACTCTTATTTCCGTATTTGGAAAAGACTTCAGAGTCTTTCATAATCCTCTTCTTCTGAGTTGCCTTTGAGTCCAATACTGGGTCTTGAAGACTAACAACTACCTCTTCCTGAGTTGACTATTCTGTGACTCAAAAACGATACCTCACAAGTAGCGAATCTTCGCAGCTCGCGCGAGATGGATGAGGAACGGCGGTTTATCACTTCCACGTTTCGCAGTATATTAAGGTTCTCTCGTTCGTATGAAAATAGTCTACACCATGCTACTCGTACAGCAATGTCTAGCTGGCTCATTCACTGAGAGAGTGGACCAAGAGTTCGAGAAGTTCAAGCAAAAGTACAGCGGGTCGATCAGTAGGCGCGTGGTCGGTAATTGTCAGCGTCGTAGTTGCTAGAGAGTGAAGGGCTTATAAATGAACCACTATTGCGGTAGATACAATGTTCAGTATGCACCAAATGAGGAGAGCTACCGTCGTGAAGTGTTTAGCCGCAATTTCCAATGGATCGAAGAGCAGAATGCTCGAGGTATGCCCTCATAACGGGAGCGATGCATCGATCTTTCCGCTTCAGGGGACCTGCCTTACGTTCTCGGCGTTACTAGGTTCTGCGACAGGACGAATGAAGAGTTCACGAGTACGGCTGCGGGCTTGGAGGGCTCAGTAGACGACTTGAAAAGTAAGATGCTATCTTGGTCCCTTTGGTCTTGATTCATCCCAGGTCAAGGGATTCTCCAATCTGCTGCTCAGTCAGTGAAAGAGGCTCCTCCCCAGTCTGTGAACTGGGTAAAGAGGGGGGTGGTTGGTCCCGTGAAGGACCAAGGTGAATGCGGCTCTTGTGCATCGTTCGCTACCGCAGGTTAGCACTAAGTCACGACATTGAATTGCAGCCTCACTGCTCATGTGTGTAGGTGCATTGGAGAGCTATTATGCCATGGCCACAGGCCATACCAACGACTCTATAGTGCCACTGTCTGAGCAACAGATATTAGACTGCTATGCTTCAGCGTAAGTTGACAACGTATATAGGTTATAGAGCCACAGGAGAATATTGAAACTGCATAGATCTTGCAATGGTGGCCTGCCTAGCGGAATTTTCACCTACGTGAAAGACAACGGAATAACGAGTGAGAAGAACTACCCCTACGAGGCGTCTAAATCCCGCGACTACAACGAGCCTTGTAAAACTAACCTGCTGGATAAAGATGACCTGATTATCAAGGTAGTGCAGATAGCAGTTCTTGCTTGCTGTAAAGTCGAGTCTCAGCCTGGTATAGTCACGGGTTATACCACAATCAATGGTGGTGACTATCAAGGTTTACTGTCGGCTGTAGCATTCCAGGGACCTGTGGCCACTTTGATCGATGGAACTACTCCACCGTTCCAGCACTATAAATCTGGTGTTATCACTGGTACTTCAATGCTCCGTTTCGGTGAGATCCACTTTTGAGGCAGGTGTCTGTGATAAAGTCACTTTACACATTGTTGTCATTGTCGGTTATGGAGAGACTCCAGAAGGCATCAAGTACGAGGCTTTGTCGATAATAGTTAGATAATGCCAGTAGTAGGTACTGGCTCATCAAAAACTCGTGGGGTACGGAGTGGGGCGAAAATGGATATGGTAAAGTTGAGAGAGATACCGGTGGATTTGGTAGGCACTAGGCTCCGAAGGGGGATTAGTGGGTCTATTTTCCAGGGATGTGTGGTATCAATACACTGTCGTGGTATCCCAAATTAAACGTATCCAATGCTTCGATCACCACAACTCCGCCTAGTACTACTACGAGTAGTAGTCATCCAAAGTGAGTATAATATCATTTCCGACCTCCCAGCTCTCCCTCAGAAATGCTGCTGTCGTCAACAACCCTTCTCTGGTTGGTATATTGACTTTGATAGCCCTCACAGTAAAAGGTCTACGCGTTTGATCTTTGTGCTCATTTACGAGAGTACCTCAGTGGGAAGGTTGCAGCAAGCGGTGGTCGGGAATCAATTTTGATCTCAATATCACCCTCGAGAAATCTGCATTGACGCTTCGTCGTCCCTCAACAGTGTTGAGTCAACACTCACTAACGCGGCCGTCTCATCTTTTCTTCTTACGTTGCTGTAGCGATAACAGTCGAAACAGCGATAATAGTTTGGTTTGAAATATGCTTCATTCAATTGTTACAAATCTTGTTGTGCGGCCGAGCATGGGGATCGGGAGAGGCACCATTGGAAATGATAACAACGATTGTTAGTAAATATTTCTAATTTGGTAGTAATCACCCGTACCATTCATTCAGGACATTGGGAGAATGATGCGGACACCGTTTGTCAGGAAAGAAAAGTGTTAATATTCCTCGTCAATCAACATTTAATCCACAACAGAGGCCTCAAGTGAGCGCATACTTCGCTTGAACGAGTCGCTAATTTAATATCATATAAACAGAACGACGAGTCATCTACGATGAAACGCAGAATTAGCATGCTTCTATAGAACTGTTCCACATGGTTCATCAGTGATAAATCAGTGTAATAAAATACCACACTGATGAAGTATGTCACGCTTGAACAGGAGTAATGAGGAGTATAAGCCGTCAAACAGCTGCGTCTACTCGACACTCTCAAACTCTATGATAGAGTCTCTATCTCTATCTGGTATCGAACTTCGAATGGTACCTGGGAAGGGAACAATGAATTAAGCTAAAATATCCCGACGTCCATGAGCATTCGCATCGAGCTTCAAAAATGTCTCAATTTCGAAAACTCGGCGAGTTAGATTTTAAATGTGATCCATTGTGCGGCACAAGGGATCACATTTGAGATCTCTGTGGCACAAGTTCTGCCACTTGAACGGGCCTAGCGGAGGTCTGCTCGCGCATGCCCGTCGTAAAGGTGCTGACTTATTACAGTCTACAATTCGGGAAGACTGCCACACAGAAACTACACACTCCACACTGTGGAGTCCACAGGCTGTGACCACAGCATGGAACTTACATGAATCTTTCAACGCAACGAGTAGAGTTATGCTACGCATAGATGCAGTGATACTACTGTCTCTGGTCAACGGTTCACTTCGGGGTAAGGTGGATCATACCACAACAATCGTTGTTCCCAATAAGAACCATAGTCTGGAACGCTCACGGTGATGTTGCTACACAACCGATTGCGCATACGGGAGTGTCATTCTCACACAGTCAAAACGCATGGACGAGATTCCAACCTGCCTCCAAAGCCGCAGGGCCCATGTTGAAGCCGAAAACCATCCTGTCAGTCTAGTATATGTTTCCGTCCGTACTGACAAAGTAACTTCTGGCAGCCAAAGTGTAGGCGGTAGAACGCTTTGCTGATGTCCATGAACTAGCAGATAGTGTGAGATACTAAACCATCCCCTAATCGTGAGCCCCCTAGGTGTAAAACCATCCGAAATAGCTTGCCATAGGTATCCCGCTGTTCCACTTGCTGGCGTCACTGCAGGGCCTACATTTGGTTGATTTCCCTGGTGACTGACAGGGAAGACCAAATTTTGCTGCTTACACGCGCAATCAATACGGTTGTAAGAAATCAGTAACTTCCCATAGATGCCTTGTGACTCCACTGATAGTAACCGGCTGATATGAGCTTGAAAATCGAGAATCAGAATTGGATCTCGACACAGATTTTAAGCGTGTGGTTTCCCATCATGCATCACCAAGAACACAAACTGTTCACACAGTGTGCTCAGAATACGGAAGCTAAATAACAAGAATTTGATCGTGTCGATCATGAGCGTGTCGGCAAAATTCTGGGCCTCCGTCCACCTCCGCGAGAAGGCTTGCGATCACATGACCAGGTGACCTATTCCTCGGTATTGATCGTAACCGCAAGGAAACTACAGGTTGCCGAGAATCTGTGCTGAGCGCGTTCAACTGAACGCACAATGTGTGAGACAGTGGTCCTGCAGTCACCATTCAATTGCATCGAATTGAAAAACGCTGGATTCCAGGATATGGAATGTCTTCGTTACATCTTACCACTCAAGCGACTACTAGTTCGAATCACTTACCGCGCTGAATGACTGATGATATGACTTGCACTCCTAATACGATGTGAGTTGCAGAACCAACCTCTACACACGTTGCACTGTACCACACACTCAGGAGAACTCAAATAGCAGTACCTGCAACAACCAATTCAATGATAACAATCCGACCAGCAAAGGCAGAGGACACTTAAGAAAGACTCATTCGACCAACCGATACATTTGCTATAATAATATGCTACAATATAGGTCGCTACGTCGAGACACTTTATGCGTACGATTCCATAGCAGGAGTAGTAACAGATTCTGACACTTAAAGGCGACCCCAACTTACCCGTTCGCTTTTGTCATAGATACCGATATTCCTGACAGGTTTCCACAAACATCGATCACCCTGATACGGCCATACTATGCCTATACAAGAAACCGCCCTGCGGGAGAAAACTGCACCTACGATCTACTACTACCCAGCCACTGAATACGCACTCAATTTCATCATAGCAACCGCAACCCTTCCGATCCAAAACACTACCTGGGGCTTCCCTGTAGTAGATATATCGGCATCTAAAAGGTCAGTGATTACATCACTTCTTCTTATCAGTCTGAAGCCCCCACTAGGCCACCATTACGCTCTTATTATCGACACTACCAAGGTCCTCGATACCTAACATGTACTTGTGAAAAACAAGTTGATTGGGAAATGAATTCACCTTTCAAAACTGCGATTCTCCATGCTGTGAGAAAAGAAGTCGCCACAGTTTGACATCATGAAAAGATCGATCAACTTCCGATAATGCATCTACCTCCCATAATGCGCACCGCGAAGAATTCAAAGATACGCCCAACAATGGAAACCATTATAACGGAGTTTACGTATGTCATAGACATCATCACTGTTGCCGTTGGATGCAGTGATAACAATAGGAACTTGGTAAATCGTAGCATACGAGTCACTTGCCACTTATTCTCCTGGACTTCCGATAGGCTCTATCCTCTGCATCAAGATCTCCTATCTCCTTACGTCTCTTCAACCTAATAGCTCAACACTAGCAATTTTAGTACTACGCATGACAATACTTACTCTTGCCTGGCTATCATCGCAGCCGATCGAGCCACACCTGCCTCGTCAACAGCAGTACTTGCAACATCATACCTACCACAAGGAGCACACATAACCATCTATCCTACATCTTTCTGCAGATAGCCTTACAGAGATCTCTAAGTCGACCAACAAGCGTCTGCTGCTGGGATCATGTAC